CTGATGTCGGGGGTTTAAGTGGAGAGAAAATGCTTTGAGAATGATGTACAAATGCACTTTACACAATTGATGTGTGTGTGGATTGCAATAACAGTGGTATGAGCACCTAATGTTTAAAAAAGAAAAAAAAAGAAATCTTACATTTGGAAGTTTCACTTTGTTCAAAATCCCCTCTCCTGTGAGCTCCCTCCTTGTTCATTGAGCAGGTGGCCATCAGTAAGGCCTGAAGACCTGTATCCCGTTCTTATTCCTCCCACTTCCTTCTCCAGCGCTATCAGTTCCCTCTATTCCTTTGAATTTCCATTCCTAAATGAACTCAATCATGAGTTTTCTCTGGTCTGGAAATGTAACTCTTTATGGGACTAGAAAGGCCAGTCTTTCTCCCATGGAGGGGCCGTGGTTTTGAACTGCTGATCTTTTGAAGTTGGCAGCCCAACATGTGTAACCATTACGCCACCAGGCCAACCAACCTTGGATTGAAAATGGGGGCGGGGGGCGGCGGCGGCAGCAGTGGGGAAGCCGTGTGAATTAGCCAAAAGCATCTCTGAGACTCAGAGAGTGTAGAGCGTCATTTACTTCCCTTATACGTTGTACTCGGTATTACCGTATAATTTAGAGAGCACTGATAGAGGAATACAGGAGGATTTTGGAGATACTAAGGAGCCTTGGTGGCGCTGTCAGCTAAGTGCTGAGCAGTTGAAACCCACCAGCTGCTCCCAGGGAGAAAGAGGAGGCTGCCTGCCCTGCAAAGAGGAGCAGCCTCAGAAACGGGAGACGGGGCTGTACTGGATGTCGGTGAGTTTGGGGGGCTTGAAGGGACTTGAGCATCTGAATTTGGGGGGGTGTGTGGGTGTTCCTGGAACCAATCCCCTGCAGCTCCTGAGGCATGGCAGCACCGTAGCCCACGGATCAGGTGGGGTAACCGCGCCTCCGAGAAGGGAAGTCACCCTCTAGAGTTCACGTCACCTGCCCATCTTCTCGATCCCTGTCTTTATCTCCTAACTTCCCCAGGGATAATTTTCTCTTCTGAATTACCAGGCACCTGCTTTCCGTCATTCCCAGGCTCTCTGCTGTCTGTAGCCGCCTTTTGAAAAGTGGTGACGGTCACTCCACCACCACAGGTCTGTCTGAGTCCCAGTTGGGGCAGGTGGTGGGTGTGCAAGTGCCCCTGGGCACTTTGGAGCCCTGGGCCAAGCTGGTCAGTGAGTTCTACTTTCCTGCCAAGGGCCAGCAGACACCATACATCGTAGCTGAGCGTCTGCCTGTCTCCCGAGAATCCTGCCTCTTCGAAGCGCCAGGAGTTTCTGGGCGCCCCCACCTGGGTGGGTCTCCTTCCCATCAAGTAGACTTGAACCTTGGAAGTAGATCACCTGGGGGTTAGAGTGCCGGGAATGGTCAGTTCTGAACAAGGGCCTGCAACTTCCTGTGTAGACACGGAGCACCGTGTGTGGGCCTTTGCATACAGGATGCACAGAGGTGTGTGTGGACGGACATGGATGATAAGGTGCACGGAACGGGCCTGTGTGTACACACGTGGTGTGCTTGCACACACGGTGCACAGAGGTGTGTGTGGACGGACATGGATGATAAGGTGCACGGAACGGGCCTGTGTGTACACACGTGGTGTGCTTGCACACACGGTGCACAGAGGTGTGTGTGGACGGACATGGATGATAAGGTGCAGGGAACGGGCCTGTGTGTACACACGTGGTGTGCTTGCGTGCGGTGTTCTTCCTTGTCTGCATATGACAAGCGGGATGTGTGTTCGTGTGTGTGGGACCAGGAGCCTGTGTCTGTGCCCCTGTGTGCGCATGCTTATGACGGTTTGCTTATTGGACGTTTACTCTGTGCCAGAACATCCCACGGTTAGCAAGGCCAAGTGGGGCTTCCTCCTGCCCTGTTCTCAGGTGACTGTCCAAGACCGAGGGGCAGACAGGGCTGAACTACACGATAGGCACACCAAGGGAATTCTCAGGGTACCGGAGAGAATGGAACACACACACACACACACACACACACACACACACACACACACACGTGAAATGAGCTTTGTTTGGAAAGGAAATTGATCAAAGCTGTTGCTATGAAAATAATTAGACTTCCATTAAGCTTTAAACTTGACTCCTCTAACATTAAAAAAAAAATTATACCAAGGCACAATCGCAGGGGTCCTCAAACTTTTTAAACAGGGGGCCAGTTCACTGTCCCTCAGACCCGTTGGAGGGTCGGACTATAGTTTAAAAAAAAAGAAAACTATGAACAAATTCCTATGCACACTGCACATATCTTACTTTGAAGTACAATAGCAAATGGGGCAAAATCACCTGGCGGGCCGGATAAATGTCCTCAGCGGGCATAGTTTGAGGACCCCTGATTTCTAGAGTACGTCAGGTGGTATGTATGGAGCACCGGTTGATGACCTTTGCATGTGCACACTATGTCAGCACCCCCAGGTCACAGTGCACACGCCCTCTCCATCCAGAAGCTTCTCTGGCAGTGGCGTGGTGATCCGGGGTGGCGTGGTGCAGCTAACGGCACAGTCAGCCTTTCAAAACCACCTGCTGCTCCCTGGGAGAAAGATGAGCCTCTCTACTCCGATGTGGTCTCAGTCCCCCTGTCCTGTAGGGTCACTAGGAGTTAGAATTACCTTGATGGCAGGGAGTCTGGGTTTTTTTGTGTGTGTGTGTGTGTGTTTGCATCGGTTTCGTTATTTTTATGATGCATGCCCATGGTATAAGTGACCGTGGTCTAGAAGCGAAATAAGCCTGGCAGGGGCAGCGGTGGCTCCGTGGCAGGAGTCTGCCCACCTGCCAGTTGTGTCCCAGTTGCACACACTGAGTGGCTGTGACACTGAGTAGGTTTTCATGGAGTTTCCAGACCAAGATAGGCTAGGAAGAAAGGCCTGGCGATCTGTTTCCGAAATTAGCTCGTGAAAACAACGATGTGGGTGACCATGAATTGGGGCAGCAACAGCATCGCGCATGGGGTCACCGTGAGCTTGGACCACAGCAGCCAACCCGACACTGGCTCCATCCCAGCCCTGTCTTGCAGCCACCCGCTGTCCCTCTGGGTGCATCCTTGATTGGGCTCCCGCACCCTGTCTTGCTTGTGTTTGGGATGACACAGAAAGCAAAGCATCATTCGCGTTCCACCTTTGGGTCTCTAAAGGCCAAGCTCTGAGACAATCGGTGTACCACACCTCTGTCCCTCCGTCGCGGACAACAGGACACTGGGCAGGACAACAGGACACTGGGCAGTCCTGCGAGCTCCGGCTCTGGCTGAGCAGCCAGACCTGTGGTTGAGGCCATGTGGGGAAGGGGACTGAAGTGGGGCTGCCTGGCTATGCCCCTGCCTCGTCCTTGCCATCTGTCTTTCTTTCCAGTCCGGTTCTTGGATTAGCCTATCTGGTGGTGGGCAGGGCAAAGGGGCAGGGACAAGAAGGGGCTTGTGTCTGGCAGGGCGGCGGAGGGTCCTTTGGACCATCCCTCTGCGCGGTGGACGAGGAGATGCTCTGAAGCATCTGCAAGCCCGTGGCTATTGGTCTGCCCCTTCCACGTTTGTTCTGGGCTCGCTGACGGCTGGGACCCAGTCTTCAAGATCATCGTCGCCACTGGAATCGCAGGGTCTGGGTGCGAGTCCCTGGACTGCCCCTCACTGACCAGATGGCTCTGGATAAGTTATTTCAGGTCCTCAAGTACCTCCAAAAGTGGTAACGATAGCTCCCATTTCATAGGGTGATGGGGTGAGGGTGGAGTGGGGATCGCAAGAGAAAGCGTGGACTAGTGGTCTGCTTTTCTGTAAGCCTTCCTGGGCCTCAGAAAGCCCAAGATGCGAGGAGCGTGAAGCGGACTGCCTTACAAAGTACAGCAACCCCCCAATGGATTCCATCTCAGGATGGATGACCCGATGACCTGTGGGAGAAGTGCTCCCTGCCCCCACCCTGCCCTGGTTCCCTAGGCTGTACATCCTTCCTGGGAGCAGACAGCCTCATGGGGCAGCTCAGTGCTTACACACCGCGCCACCAGGGCTCCTCAGCCTACCGGAAGACTCCACGGGAGGATGGCTCTCCTCCTCCTCCTTCTCCTAAAATGAAGAGCCAGGTGGAGGGGTGGCAGGGGGGAGGGTGCTGCGGGGAGGAAGAGCCCTAGGGTGGCTGCAGGTTCCCAGGTGTCACCTGAGTGCCATGTTCCTGATGCCTTGGATGGTAGACCTGTGGGGAGTGGGGCCCCTCCCCGCCCCCACCGCCACCCTGCTCGGCTGGCTGCTTAGTTCTAAAATGAGAAGTAGAGTGAGTTCCCCCAAGGGGTCGGCCGCGCCCCTTCCTGTCCCCGCCCTGTCGGCTGCCCCAGGCCAGTACAGTGGCAGGCCCCAGCACCAGGACCCCGCTGCCTGCCCGGGTGGGGAGGAGGCCTGGCACTGAGCCTCTGAGCTGGAGGCTGGACCTCACCTGCTGGGACTAGCCTGCAGCGCCACATCCCTGTGCCCCTTCCTCCCCGGGAGCCCCCAGGATGGTGAGGTAAGGGCTGGGGGTTCACAGCAGGCATAGGCAGTCAGCAGGTGTTCTGGGGAGGGGTGTCCAGCAGACCCCTCTTTACACACTCTGCACCCCCGCCCTGCCCCAGATGGTTCCACCGAGACCTTGGAGGACTGGACGCCGAGGCCCTGCTCAAGAGCCGTGGCGTCCACGGGAGCTTCCTGGCACGGCCCAGTCGCAAGAACCAGGGAGACTTCTCCCTGTCTGTCAGGTAAGTGCGAGGTTGGCCCAGGCCTGGACCTCTCTCTGTGTGCTCCCCAGGGCGGTGCAGCATCCCCAGCATTTCCCCCACCAGTCCCTGGTGTGTTTCATACGTGGGACCCTGGGCCCCCCCAACCCCCTGTGTCCACTTCCATGCCTGCACCCTCAGGCCTCACTGCCTGGTGCTGTTCAGGGTGAAGGATCAGGTGACCCACATTCGGATCCAGAACTCGGGGGACTTCTACGACCTGTACGGAGGGGAGAAGTTTGCGACGCTGACAGAGCTGGTGGAGTTCTACACTAAGCAGCAGGGCGTCCTGCAGGACCGCGATGGCACCACCATCCACCTCAAGTACCCGCTCAACTGCTCCGACCCGACCAGTGAGAGGTGAGGGCCGTGCCGCACCTGACCCACCCCTTGCACCAGCTGTCCGGGAGGCCGGCCCCACGGCCAGAACGCTGTCCATCGCCCCACCCGGCCCTGTGCCACCTCAGGGGTCCTAGCATCATCTTCCCTCCGTGCTAGCCTGTGACCCCGGTGTCTCACAGGGCCAGCCTCCTGTCCCTTGTCCCTTCCCATCTAACCGAGGCAGCAAGAGAAGGTCGCCGCCGACCACTGCTCCGGAGTGCAGGCAGCTGCCGGCCCAGGCCCGCCTCGTGACAGGAGGCCACCTTTAATGGCCGGCCCCTCCATGGCAGGCCGCTCTGTTGTTAGAAAGCTCTTCCGCCTATGGGACTGACTCTCCCTGTCTGCCCCCACTCCAGCGGGCTGGTGCTGTTGAGGGTGGGGGCCAACGTGCATTAGGACGTGCAGTGCCTTCTCCCAGCAGCCCAGTATGGCTGGGGCTGGGTAGAGCCAGACCTTTGGAAACAGTGTGTTGCGGGGTTCCTTGTACACGGGTCCTGGTGCTGCCCTGTCCCCTCCCGGGTGCCGCTAATGCTCAAGGCATTCTCCCCTCACCCACATTGGACTCCAAAGACGCGATCCCCAGAACGGAGCTGGGGTGGTCTCCCTGAAACCAACCCGGGTGCGTGGCATTACTGATTGTTGCCTAGGAAGCTTAAGGGCCGAGCAAGGATGGAAGGATGGACTTTTCATCCGGGGGACCTGGCCAGCCGGCCCTGTCCCGCATGTGTGTGTTGGTGGCCTTGTGGCTGAGCTGTTTCTGGGCCTCTTCTCTGTCCTTTTCAGTCTCTGAGAGTCACACCTCCAAACCTGTGTCCTCATCTCGGTTCAAGTCCCTCGTTACCATTAGCCTGGGAGGAGGCCGAGGAAGGAGTCCTGGGAGCCGCCACTGGCCACGTCTGTCTTTGGACTTTACCTAAAGCCAGCGTTCTATTTCTCTCTTCGCCCAAGGGGACCACCCCTCGCGCTTGTGTCCTTGGTGGGCATCTGCCCCCTCTTGCCTGCCCCCTGTACCTGCGTGCACCAGACCCTCTGTTCCCTCTGTCTCCTGGCCCCAGGCCTGGGCCTCGCCTGCAGCAGGGGAGGAGAGACTGGCTCAGGACTGCAGAGCAGTAGCCTGTGGATGGGGTGGGGAGGGAGGAGGCCGAGGCCGGGGTCCAGAGAGCCTGGCAGAAGCAACAGAGGGAAGCCGGAGTCCACGAGGGCCCGGGCTGGGGGAGTATGAAGGCCAGGGAAGCTGACTGCTCTGAGGGCCCTCAGAGTGACCCATGCTCAGAGCCTGGGTCCTACCCCACTTCCAGCAGAGCCCCTGACCCTGGGAGGCTCCTCCAGAATTCAGATAGGCCCTTCCCTATCTCTGGCTTCTCTGGCCCCTCCTCTTCCTTGGGAATTTGCATCTGTCCCCACGATGGCTAGGTCTTTGCCTGTGGTCAGCTTGCATTTGCATGGACACTTCCTCATGGGGGGCACTGGAGGAAGGGGGTTCAGCCCCACCCCTCTACTTGGGGGGCCTCAGCTTGTCCCTGCCAGGTGGGGTGGGGTGGCCCAGGGTGCGCAAGGGTGGGGTAGGAAGCTCTGAGGTCTCTGAGCTGGAGTCCACGGGGTGGGGGCGGGGGTCAGAGGGGACACGACAGACTAGCTCCCTCCCTCCGTCCCCCATCCCTGCGGTTGGAAAATGCCCCCCCTCCGGCTGAGGAAACCTCACTTCTCACTCTCCCCAGGAGGAGTTTTGTGTTTTTCCATCACGTGGTTTCCTGTGGGGCTGGGCACTATGGGGCTGCAGTTTCCTCCTGGGAAGGGGCTGTGCTTCGGGGAAAAGTCCTAGTTCTGCTTTCTGTCCCCACAGCCCCTTTGAGCCCCTCTGAACCCCGGCCTCCCCTTTGGTGACATTGTCCCAGGCCGCCCGCCCCCTCCGGGCCCCCTAAGCCCCCCTCTCTGAGCCGAGGTGCCTCCCGAGCAGCAGAGCCATTGGCCTTCCCGCCTCCCTCCCCGGTGATCTCCCCAGCATGTGTGCCTGCCTCCCTTGTGACTTCCGCCTCCTGTCTCCCACCGAGCTCCGCTCTGTGCTTCTGCCTCTTCCCTGTGACTCCTGGACGTCCTGCCTCGGCTGCTCCCCTGCAGCTGTGCTGGACCTTGCCTGATGTTCCGTGGGGCCAGGAGGGCAGTTCTGGGTGCAGAGATAGCCCCGTTGTCATCCCCAAGGCCTGCCTGCCTCCCCTCTGATGGGGGGTGGGGTGGGGGGGCGTAGGCATCAATCGCTCAGCCCTCAGTTTGCTCATCTGAGCAGTGGGAGAACTCCCTGCCTCTCGGAGCTGCCGTAAGAGGCTCTGGAGTCGAGATTTAAAAGCATGCCCTGGGCATGGGATCTGTAGGAGGCAGCCCGTCCCCCTGCCACTCTCTGGGCGTGCTCTGCCCCTGTGGCCTGGAGCTCAGCTTCCCCGCGCTGCCCTCTCTAGGTGGTACCACGGCCATATGTCTGGGGGGCAAGCAGAGACGCTACTGCAGGCCAAGGGCGAGCCCTGGACGTTTCTCGTGCGCGAGAGCCTCAGCCAGCCTGGGGACTTTGTGCTGTCCGTGCTCAGTGACCAGCCCAAGGCCGGCCCAGGGCCCCCTCTCAAGGTCACTCACATCAAGGTCATGTGTGAGGTAAGGCTGGTGGGCGGAGCGTAGAGCCCTGGAGGTTGGGGCGGGGAGGCCCAAGATGAAGCCCCCTTTTGTGCCAGAGCACTGGGAGTGGGGAGGGGGGGGTCCCTGGAGGGAGACTCAGGCCCTGTGGGGTGCACTCCCCCTGCCCCCACCCTCAGGGCGGACGGTACACGGTGGGAGGGCCCGAGAACTTCGACAGCCTCACGGACCTGGTGGAGCATTTCAAGAAGACAGGCATCGAGGAGGCCTCCGGGGCGTTTGTGTACCTGCGGCAGGTGAGCGATGCCCCCCCCCCCCCCCAGCCCTCAACTCCCAGGGCTGCGACTCCCTGGACCCTTGGGTCACCTGGTCACCGCACCCACCCTCCCCACCCACCCCAGCCTTACTACGCCACGCGGGTGAACGCGGCCGACATTGAGAACCGCGTCTTGGAGCTCAACAAGAAGAAGGAATCCGAGGAGACGGCCAAGGCGGGCTTCTGGGAGGAGTTCGAGGTGTGTGTGGGGTGCTGGTGGGCTCGGCCACGACCTCAGCCTGTGGCAGCCCCTTCTCTCCCCACTGCTGACGCTGCCCCTGCCCTGCCTGCCCCAGAGTCTGCAGAAGCACGAGGTGAAGAACCTGCACGAGCGACAGGAGGGCCAGCGGCCCGAGAACAAGAGCAAGAACCGATACAAGAACATCCTTCCTTGTGAGCGCATTGCCCGGCCAGGGTCCTCGTCTCCGCCCCCACCCGGCAGTCACTCCCCAGGAAGCTTTTGTCTCCCCTCCCCGTCCCCCCAGCCCCCTTCTTCTGGGAGTCTGACCCCCACCCCATCTGAGTCCCCTCCTTCATCCGACGACCCCTTCTGGCCATCTAGACCGGGGCTCAGTCCTCTGCGGGCCCCTGGCTGCTCAGGCAGGAGGGCCCCTGAGTTTGGGCAGAGCTGACCGGGCCCTTCCCTGCCTCTCTCTGCCCACGCCAGTCGATCACAGCCGAGTCATCCTACAGGGACGCGACAGGAACACCCCTGGGTCTGACTACATCAACGCCAACTACATCAAGGTGGGCGGTGCCCGTCCCGCCGGGAGAGGGCCCTGGGCTTCCTGCCTCATGGTGGCACCTGGGTTCTAGGGACATCTGGTCAGAGGCCAAGCTGGACTCCGGTGGGCGGGCCAGCAGGCAACACCGGTCTGGCCTGGGCCCGGGAGCTCAGCACCATGCCTTCCCCCTTGCACACACACGCAGAACCAGCTGCTGGGCTCCGACGAGAACGCTAAGGTCTACATCGCCAGCCAGGGCTGCCTGGACGCCACTGTCAGTGACTTCTGGCAGATGACGTGGCAGGAGAACACCCGGGTCATCGTCATGACCACGCGGGAGGTGGAGAAAGGCCGGGTAGGCAGAGCTCTGGCCGGCCCCTGCGCCCCTGAGCCCCCCGCAGGGCTGGTTGCCCACGCTGCTCATCCAAAGGAAACGCGAACACAGGGCAGAAAGGGACCTGCGAGCTAAGGCTAAAGGGCCCGCCTTTTGGGGGGAAACAGGCCCAGAGGCAGAGCCTGGGCGACAGACATGCTCAGCTCCCGGAGGCGAGGCGGGCACCCCCAAGCTCCCAACCCAGGTGCCTTCTCAAGGGCTTCCCTCTCCCCAGACATTTCCCTCCTCGGGGCTTCTTACCCCCGAGGGTCTCCCCTGCCCCTCCCCGCAGTAGGCCCCTCCAGTTCTCTCGGAATCTGTCCTCCAACCCCACTGCCCCAGGTGCTGGCCCTCTGCACCTCCCTCCCCAGTGTGGTCAGTGAGCCTGCCCAGAGGATCGGGCCCCATTGCTCCCTCTCTGCTGGCCCTTTATGGTTCTGGCTCGCCTGGTTCCTCCAGGAGAAAGCCCTGGGCTCCGAGGGGTGACCCCATATTCCCCCAGCACTGGCCGCCTCCAGCCTGAGCGGAGCTGGGCTTCCGAGCCACTGTGGCTGGCCCGGCTGACGCTCGCTTTCTGCTAGGAAATGACAGGGTCTTTCCGCACTATCTCTGCCTGACAGCCTCCTCCTTTATGGAAGACCCAGCCCACAGCTGCCTCCTCTGGGAGGCCATCTCAGATTTCCACCTGTCCCTCCCCAGCCCCTCCCTCTGCCGTGGGCCTGGTCTCCCTGCCCCATGGCCCTGCCAGTACCTGTCCTGTTCCTGCGGCCCGGCCTGCGCCCAGTGTGGGTGGATAATGAATGAGTGCGCAAGGAGGGTGAGCTGGCTGGTCAGGTCATCTGGGTGCCCTGGGACCAGGAGCTCAGCAGCCTCCTGTGGCCCGGAGCCCTGCTCCCAGGTCTCATGTCCTTCCCGCCCTCCTTTTTCAGAACAAGTGTGTCCCTTACTGGCCGGAGGTGGGCATGCAGCGTGCTTATGGGCTCTATTCCGTGACCAACTGCAGGGAGCACGACGCAGCCGAGTACAAGCTCCGGACCCTGCAGGTCTCCCCGCTGGACAATGTGAGCAACACCCCCACCCCACGCACGTGCCCCTTGGTCCTGTTCTCTGGTCTGGCGAGGTGGGGCAGGATGAGTGCCTGCTGTTTGGAAGCGGGGGCACTGACCCTGTGTACTTGGCCCAGGGAGACCTGGTTCGGGAGATCTGGCATTACCAGTACCTGAGCTGGCCTGACCACGGGGTTCCCAGTGAGCCCGGGGGGGTCCTGAGCTTTCTAGACCAGATCAATCAGCGTCAGGAGAGCCTGCCCAGCGCAGGGCCTATCATCGTGCACTGCAGGTGAGGAGGAGGACGGGAGACCTGGGCTGCAGGGCAGGGCTGGTGTTAAATCACGGGCGCCTGCACCTGGCGGTGCCTTCCCTTCCCCCCAGCTCCCTTGGGCTCCCCGGCGGCTCCAAACTCCCAGGGAGAACTCGGCTGGCATTAGTCCTGCCTTGCCCTGCCTAGCACATGCCAGACTTGCCAGCTTACCCCATGGCTAATTGAAGGGATCGATCACTTCTCACATTAGACCCGGGCCCTGTCACCCTGCTTTCTCGTGTGGTTCCACACAGGCTCCAGAACCTGGGGCCCCCGAGGCTCCCTGTGGCTTCTCCTTTTCCCTTTGTGGCTTCCCACTCGCCCCACCCCACCTGGGCCCCAGGATCCTGGCACCCCCAGCTCCAGTATAGGTGCTCCTGTGTGTGGGGGGTGGGAGGATGGGTAGACTAGAGGAACAGGGCTTCCAGCAGGCTGTGGTTGAGGCCCTGGGGCAGCCCAGCAGAAGCCGATGGGACGGAGGGCTTCCCAGAGGGCGCAGGAGTCAGGGCTGCCTGCTTAAGGCCCAGCTTCTCCACCTGTGGGCTGTGCAGCCTCAGCCAGCTCCCGGGACCGCGAGGTCCAGAGGGTCTAAGGAGGGTGCTCATCGGAGGGGCTGCCAGAGGCCTGCGGGACAGCCCGTTCTCTCTGGATTGCATTGCCCCAGCAGCTTTGTGAAGGCCACAGGTAGGCACCTCCCATCCTTGCGAGGGCTGTGTCCCCGTCACCATTTCTGGGGTCCACTGGACCCTCCACAGATGGGGACCATGGGTGGTTTACATGAGAAACCGCTCTGGCCTGTCTTCCATCCTTGCCATGTGACCCCCCAGCCTAGGCCCAGGCCTGTGAGGCCCTCAGACTTCCTCTCTATCCTGGGGCTGGGGGCAACCTGGAGGTGCCCACTTGCTTGGGGGCCCAGCCACTTCTGCGTGGGGGCAGGCCTATCCCCTTGCCCCCCATGCACACACACCCACACCTGTTTTAAAATCCCCATGGCCTTTATTTAGACACGACCAGAAGGATGTGGGTTTGGGGGGTTTATTTTCGATGGTTTGAAATTAGGCGGCGATGGTTGGGGCACTGGCCTGACGGGTCAGCCAGAGGAGGTGGCACTGGGGCCTGAGGTCTGCTTGTCCAAAGGATGGGCAAGAAAGGAAAGGCCCATGCACCCACCTTCACCTCCCCAGCGCCTTCCCCACCTCGCGAGTCCTGAGGAAAAGGGAAATGAAGCCCTGCAGAGGGAGGCGAGGGACGGACGCAGGACCAGGCTGGGGACACGGGCACAGTGGCGGCACAGCAGGGCCTGGGGGAGCAGCCACCAGTCACGGATCAGAAGCTGTGGCCGGAGGTTGGGGGGGGGGGCGTCTCGTGCTGGGAAGGACAGTGACGGCGTCCTCAGGGAGACCCCCGTCCCTCGGTTGAAGTCAAGACCACAGGGAAGGGTGGGCAGACTTGTGTCCTTGCTTGTGGCTCAGTGGCCCGGCCCGGGCTGTCTCTGCCCCATGTGGAGCTGGGCCCCGGCCGGACCTGACGGTGGCACCCTCTCTCCCCAGCGCGGGCATCGGGCGCACGGGCACCATCATCGTCATTGACATGCTCATGGA